TGTGCTAAGCGATGCCCCAGGACTACTAACGTGACAACCACCCATGGTACATTCCTTGGTCTCTGTGCTTGGGCCATCATCTTTCTTTAGCTCCAGTTTGAACAGATGCTTTATGAGCTTGCCCGTTCTCTTATACTCTCCCTTCTTCTCCAGCTTCTGACTCAGATTAATGAGGCTCTGTGCTGCAATGGGCCCCACCTCTAAACTTTATACGTGAGTCAAGTTGTACAGCACGTATTACTGTTCCTGAGGTTAACAAGTAACCTCGCAGTTCCTGTAGCTCAATATATACCTAAGTTAGGGTGTGGCAGGCATCACCTCCTCCCCACCTAAGGCAGCCAGACAGAGTGAAGTGATTAGAGCAGTAAATCACTGCCTGAGTAATACTGCATAAACATACGGGTCTTACGAACTACCCAACCGAGTGTCTTGATCACTTCCTTTGGCTATGTATTTCCACCAGGTTATATAAAAAGCCCCCAGCAGCTTAGTTTTTCAAGGCAGTCTGCCGAAAGCAATGGGATGGCAGTAAGAATTTCAGTCAATGCTCACTGATTTGCATGTGACACGGAGCATAAAAAGTGTGAAAAAATCAGTTTCTAGAAATATTTGCAACATGGTTATTTAACAGATGATGAATAAATGCCCTGAGAAGTGGATGCACACATGAAACATAAGCCAGCCATAAATGTTTTCTTCAATCTCTCTGCTCTGGTCTAGATATTATTCTTTCATGCTCATTTCAAAAATGTTTGCAAGGTTATTACAGCAATTGTAAGCCTTAATCATTTTCTGAGAGAATAATTCCTCCCATTTTGTGCACTTTGTACACCGCTTATCTCTCTAGTACTTTATTCTGCTGCACATATGAGCAGTCAATCTCTAAGCTAAGCAAAGTGACATCCAAAAGAATTACAGCTACAGGAGCAGCATATACAACTGCAACTAGGATTTCACTATTTTTCAGGAAACAGTATTATTTTGCAATGTTTACATTATCTTTCATGAAAATATCTCAAATTTTTTTTTTTGCAAATATGTAAACTTCAGCTTTCAAACATTTTGCTATAAAAATGGGGAAGTATCTAGAATTATCTAGATTCAGGCTACTTCCCTTGAGTCCTGCTAAAACAAGGAACACCAAGGATCTTCTCCACTCTGCAAGGCCTCACAGACTTTGATCAAATTGATTTTGACCTTCCCTCCATTAAAGCAGATGATTCAGCTTTTCATAGGCATCACAGAGGAACCCCTCATTGTAGTGCCTCACACATGTAAAATGACATCCACAATACCACAAAAGCAATATGAGTTGAATAACCCTACAGTGCTTCTTAGACAGTGAAAGTATTTGAGCCATTGTACGAGCTCATGCTTACAAGAAGCACATTTAATTACTTTAATAACCAGCCCGTTACCTTTAAGTAAACCAGTATGCATAACTGTAGGCAAGACAGGAGATAGTGGTTACACAATGGTGGCAAACGCTTCCTACCTGACATGAGTCACCAGTGTACTCCGGAGGGCAGGAGCATGTCTCTACGCTGTATGCGATGCTGCCGCTTCCTGTGCTGGTGGCTTCTTCCAGCCCAACCTCACCAAGAGTTAATCGCTGGGTCTCCGTGAAGTAAAGGCCTCTGATGTGTAAACCATCTAGCCTAGACAGGATTATCATCAGCTCTTCTCTGGATACAAGGTTATTGCTGCTGGCATGCCTGAAGTTTCCCTGCACATGAAGGGTACAAAATGAGTATGACCTTGCAGTTCCTTAAAAAGAGTATCTGCAAAGAAGAAAGGATGACAGAAAAAGGGAGAAGACCACCATGGAACAGACCACTATAGTGCCAGTTGGTGTGGGGTGAAATAGAGGCCAGGAAAAGAAATACAAGGAATGTAAACACAGCATAGGTAGAAAATAGTATAATGAGCATCAAAAGGAATGTACCCTTTACTTTGTAAGGTACATATATATGGCTCTGAGGTACTGAAAAGTGAAGCATGTAGGTTCTTCTTTAGTCATTCAGATTTCTTTGAGGTATCACCCACCAAACCATAAAAGGGTGGAGGAAACTGTTTTATTTTTAAGAATAGGCAAAGTCCTAGAAATCCAATCTTTGAGGGCTGCCTTCGCATAATTTCTTGCTGATACTAGATACAACATTACTGAAAATGAAATCTGGCTTGAAGAAACATTTTTTTTTTTTGCCTGGATATGAGATAGAAATAAATAGCCCAGTTTGACATTCCAAGCACAGGTTTAAGGTAGGAATAGTCCCTGCTAAGTTTGCCTGCCTGAGTGTTGGACACCCATTCTTAACTAGGTAGCTAGACATCAAAGGAAAACAGATAACAGTTCATTCCATCATTAAGTATGATCTGGAACTGCAGTGAATCATCTTGCATTGATGACTAGTTCAGTATTACTCCACTGGCCCTGGAGGGAGTGCTAACGGCTAAATAGGACAAGGTGCCTAATTCAGAAGTGCTAAAATTAGGCGTCATGAACCAGAACCTAGGTTCAATGTGGCAGTAAAGAGAAAGAAATAATGTCTATAATGAGAGTCTACAGTATTTCAGCTTATATTCATTAATATTATAAAGTATTTGGTATTTCTGCATATTTTAGCTGAGTATTTTTTATGTGCCATTGGGAAGAAAGGAAAGGCCATTCCATTCGCATTTCTTACCTCAATGAGCTGCACACGGCCATAATATTGACGGTCAGGCAGTGGGTCATTGGGATCCATATAAACAACTTTCATTTGCTGGCCCTGTGTGAGAATGAGAATGTAACATTGCTGTTTCACTACTTTTTATAGTAAAGTGTTCAGATGCAGCAAAGTTTCGTGAAGCACATTAATCCTGTTCTTCAGGGGGTAAATACTAAGTAATACTAGAAAAACTGTAAGTCATTTTGTTGGCAAAGTGGTATAGCAAGCATTGTACTCTAGTGTCAGCAGGTTTTTCACTGCAATTGCCTATTAAAAACCTTGCTTTCAAATAAAAGACCCAGAGTATTAAATTAATGCTGACCAATTTCCAAAGGAGCTAGTTATTAATTTTGAGTAAAAATGTTTTTGCATTATCATATACTCTCCTTTGTGTTCTGGTACACAAATGACTTTGGATACTACTGTAGTACTTTACGAGGCATGTTTCCCAATAAGAATCCTAGAATAATGAATTCGTATTTCTGACGGTCTGAAGAAACAAAACCACCCTCTTGGGAATGTGCAGTTCTGGTGTCCTCAACATAAAAAGGACATGGAACTGTTGGAACAAGTCCAGAGAAGGGCCGCAAGGATGATCAGGGGACTGGAGCACCTCCCGTATGAAGACAGGCTGAGGAAGTTGGGGCTGTTCAGCCTGGAGAAGAGAAGGCTGCGTGGAGACTTCATAGCAGCCTTCCAGTATCTGAAGGGGGCCTATAGGGATGTTGGGGAGGGACTCTTCATTAGGAACTGTAGTGATAGGACAAGGGGTAATGGGTTAAAACTTAAACAGGGGAAGTTTAGATTGGATATAAGGAGGAAGTTCTTTACTGTGAGGGTGGTGAGGCACTGGAATGTCTTGCCCAGGGAAGCCGTGAATGCTCCATCCTTGGTGGCATTCAAGACCAGGTTGGACAGAGTCTTGGGTGACATGGTTTAGTGTGAGGTGTCCCTGCCTATGGCAGGGGGGGTTGGAACTCGATGATCTTAAGGTCCTTTCCAACCCTAACTATTCTATGAATTTCAACAAACAGTAGAAGATTTCAATTCTGGCCCAACAGTGGTTAAATTAAAAAACTGTTAACATAAAATGCATTTTTTACTTCAGTTCCCTGAAGCCTTAGAACTATGTTTAATTTTATTCTAAAGAAAACTCATACAGAAAATGAGATTAATTACACATGGAATCCAGGGCATATTTTGCAGAGTTGAGGCCATACTTGTTGACAAGTGTACAAGGCTTTAATTATTTTTATTCCACAGGTGTATTTTACAGAGAAAATCCTGTTTTACCTTTTTATTTGCTCTCAAGTCAGTTATGCTTAATAATATATTACTTTGGTGACAGAGATACCTGTGTTGATGGCTTTAAGCAAAATGCAATAAAAACACTTTTATAGAAATATAACAAGTTACTATAAAAGTAAAGCATGCTATGGGAGCAAAATTTGATATAGTTATCAGGTAACATAAAAATCATGGCACTGGTGTTGCTTGAAAGAAAACATAATATTTCAAAACTTACTGTTAGTTGTATATCAGGTCTCTTACCCAGAAGAGCCATGCCCTCACTAGGTAAGCCAAAAGATTTCACTTGGTAACTTAGGAAGCCACCGTATGAAGAAAGCTGTAAGAAAATACACAAGACCAGAGATACTTTACTGCACAATTGCTTGATATTAGTATAACTTTATAGCCAAGTTTACCCCATCTTCTAGCACTATACATGATAGTTTTACTCTTTATTCCTTAGGCAAAATATGTGTTGCTTGGAAGAAATTATTTTGTTTTGTTTACTTTTGTGTATCTGACATCACTTTTTGAGCAGCACTGTTCTCTGGAAGGTTACCAGCATCACTTTGGTTTTTTTTTCATGCCTGGGACCACACCACCTGTGTCATGGAGAAATCACATGTTCACACAAAAGTTGTTCTTTCCCTGACCCTACAAAAATTTGGCTCATCAAAGGAAGATGTCACACTGACAACAGGAGTGGTAGTGAGAGCCTTGAAAAGCCATGGATAAAAAAGGAGACGTCAGATTAAGCATTTTAGATGTGTCTTTCATAGGCCACATTTTCTAGACTTACTACAAACATAAATCTAACAAAGAAACCTTTTCTTCACCTTCTGTGGAATGGGACTTCTATTCATATCAGCTGGTACCACCTCTGTTGTTGTAAACAGACGTTACTGTAGGTTGAACTGAAACCACACTTCTGGCTCAACTACAGGTGACCACAGGCAGCCTCAAACCCAACCAAATACATACACTGCTGCCCAGAACAAAGACTGAGTTAAGTATGTTTGAATCATCTGACAAACAGCTTCCCTGGGTTGTGTATGAGTGACTCAGTTTAAAACATATTGAAAGGAAAGGAAGCTCCAGGCACAGCTTAGAAGCCTAGAAAGAAGGTTTGTGGGCACAAGGGGAAATTAGGAGTTTTGCCACAGATTCACTACTTTGTTTTGCAACCCTTGCTGATTGCCCTTTATAGATTATGCTTGGTTTTGACATGGGAGGAAGAACTGCTTTGTCAGGTTTTGGTGTTCTACAGGTAAGCACCAGCCTTCAGCCTACCCCTTTCCATCTATGTACTTTGATGAATTACAAGCACAACACATGCATCTCAGTACTAAACTTGTTCTTTGGATCACAGGGCCATAATTAATCCTATTATCTTCAGCCAATTGCATTTTCAAAAGCATCATTTAGGATGTTGACTATATTTTGCCAACATAACTGAAAACAACTGTATATACATTTTTATTTTTTATGGTTTTTCCAAAAATATAAGAAAACTCAGAGCTTTAATGTCCTGCTTAACACACACTTTAGGACTGCACCATATGAAAGGCTGTTATGTTACTGCTTTTTCATCTATTTTTTTTAATGGGAAAATGTTTGCATTATAAACGACATTCTATATGCACAGTATTTATTTGCTAACATTAAGAGTTCTCTATTAAATACGATGTTAAAATAGAAAAGAGCAGAACATGGGGATAATGTGATCTGAATTTCTCAGTGACTTAAGATTCTGCACTGCTACAGATTATAAATTTGAACCCTCTTTAACCTGGTAAACAAAAGATAGAAAGAGGAAAGAAATTATACTCTGCTAAATATTAATGCTCAGTGGAACTAATTAAAAGGTTTAAGATAATGGAGAGCAGTATTTATACCCTCATCATAGGATGTGGACTGATCTTGTTCACATTTTCTGAAAGAGGTGCTGTCACTAGAAGTAGACCAAAACCTGACATTTCAGAATACAATAATAATGTGACTAATTGGTAAATTTATGAGCTTTTAAAACTAGCAGCAAGATAGCATTTAGGGTGAGGGGGGACACTTTCACTACTGCAGTGTTGCCTGTGCTATAATATGCACTTACACACAGTGTACAGTAAAAGCAGGAACAAAAACAGAACAATTTTATTTACAGTGTTGTCACTGTACATAAAAGCAAGTCATAGCATGCCTGCTTAGATACTGTGACATACAACATAAACCTCACAGCAATGTTCTTAATAGCTCTGTTAAAAAAGGGTTATTGCCTGCTTTGTACTGTATTATGGGAACAACAAAATCCTTTTGGTTTAACACTATAGTAGATAACATGTGCTTTAACATGAGATTTCTTTGAAAAGTGACTTGTAGACATTGAAATAAGAACATCTATTACATTAACAAAAAGCACCCTAACTAAACATGCTGTGCACCTGAGAGATATGTACCTCTGAGTGCAGGAGAGCAGGATGAAAAATACTGCTCTAGTCTTTAAAATGATGACTAAGGGGAACTACAAAAATTGTACCATATTTAATGCTCTGGTGTCTATTCCCTTTGTGTTCAGCTGTGTGACAGTAGGGTTGCATCTGAAAAGCCTGTGTCCTACAACTGGCTAGCTACTATTGACACTGTCAGAGTTTCAAAGCGGGAGAACCTGGGGCTCTGGGCCTGCAAGCCCCCACTAGCAAAGTCCCCCTGTCAGTGTGATCCCCAGGCTGAAATGCCAATAGGTATTAACTGTGAGCAAAAGACTGCTCCGATGCATGAGTAGAAAGAGAAGCAAGCAGTTCCAAGAACAAAAAGGTTAGAAAACCAGGTGTTGTTCTTCCCAAGTGACATGTCAAAAGCAAAAGGTTGTATTTTTGCATACACTGAGCACATAATCACATTTTATTCTTTTGGAAATCTGCCCAGGAGGTACTTCAGGGAGTGTAAAGGATACTTGAGTACAGTGGGAAGCTCTGCATGTTTTGGGTTTCAGAAAAGCAGCTGAAGGTACCAGCTCTCTGAAACATAGCTCCTGAACATGCTGTTCACACAAAGACTTCCCTGGCACCAAGCAAGATGAGTAATTCTGTATTACTGGTTATAATTTTAACTTTGTATTCAGAAGTAAAATGTGATTCCTGGCATGAGAGGTAAGAATCTCATGAGGGAAGAGTGAGAAACGTATCTAAGAAAAACAGTGAGACTCTATCAATGATGCTAGAAAAAAATGAATACGTGTTATAAAACCAGATAAGTTAGGTGTCATTTACCTTCTCTCCCAGGTAAGATGGTGGTGCTTTCCAGTACAAACTATGCACTGAAGCAGGTAGTTCTTGAACATCAGCCACTACACTGTTACTGACTGGATTGAAAGTGACTGGAATGTCAATATTTTCATCCACTGCCTCCAAGCTCCAGTTCCTCATGTCCACAAACTAACAAAAATACATAAAGGAAATAAAAGCTCGTTTCATCCTTTATTAAACTTTACCAGCATCACGTAACGAGATAAAATTTTTTAGTCTCTATAATTCCCTTAGCATGAAATTCAACCCCTTCAGAGCCAGCCTAAAGTCTTTGAGTAACAGATGTTGCAAAGAACTCAAAAGACAACAGAAGTGAGACAAATATGCCAAAGCTACTTGGGATGCAAGTATTTGGTCTGTTACCTCTAGAATCTACCAAACATTTCTTAGGTTTCAAAATGCATCTAAGATATAGACATTTAAATGAAATGTGCTTATCAAAGCATCCTTGAAGGAGACCATTGACTTCAATGAAGAATTAGTGCCTCAATATAAAGCAATAGAAGTTCAGCTCAGCTTCAGTTCAGCTAATGAACTGTAAGCAAAGAGGTGGAAAGGGCCATTTCTGCTGAAAGGCACTTTCAGACTACATTATGTCTTAACAAGGCTGCACTAAATCTGCACTATTGATTGCAGAATATTTCTCATCCTTAGAAACTCATAAGACGTATTTTCAATTTTGGAATAAATCTGGCATTTCATTAACAGAATAAATGTAGGTTCATGGTAGCAAAGAAAAAAAACTATTGGATACACCTTGTTTCTACGATGATTTGTGCTGTGACAGTTGTTGGTTGCTCCAAAACAAAAACAAGAGGTGCATCCCCTGGGATTAGAAGGGTCCAGATAAAAGGATCCTGGCCGGCAAGTATCACATTCTGCACCTTCAACATTCTCCTGTTAAGGCATAATTGAAAAAACACTCAGGACTTTCCTTTTGGTTTTGGTGAGGCCCCCAAAAACTTCTGCACACAAACCAAATCTTCTGAAAGAATACTTCTTTAAATATAAGGAAACATGAATGAAAGTGTGCCGTTGTCTTAGATGCACCATGCTCCAACTGCAAATAAAACTGACTTCTTGAAGACTATCTTAGGAGCTTTCAAGTTTATAAAGTCAACCACTGAGTAATAAATATTAGTCAGAGACAGCTGGTAACTTCCCTGCCAAAAACCTCCTGCTGGCTTTTTGAAGCCTACGGTATAAAAGGTCACTTGTGAAAGTTCACATTTATCACATTTAATTATGCAGATCAGAACAAAAGAGGATTTCCTGGACATAATGATGTGGTGAAATGCCAACTGACATACTATGGCTAAAAAAAGCATGGGACCTGGTTAACATCCAAAAGCCGAGATGCAGATGCATAAAGCAGATCTGTTTAGAGTACTGATTGCTTCAGTGAAGCAGTGGACATCTACTCTGCAGTTCTGTAACATCCCGCAAAGCCTAAGACCACCCATTCAACCGGCAGATACTAAACTCTTTAAAAATGGCATTTAACTGCTACCATGATAATCTGCACGTACTGCAAGGTGTGGTAATTTTGTACAGCTGCATTTAATTTTTACTGAAAACTTCATGATAAATTCACTTCATTCACCCCATTAAATATGAAATAGTCACTGATGTGCAAATGATGCTTGAGAATGCAGAAGTAATATGATTTATCTGACCTTGCAGAGACAAATTCCTGTCTGGGGATCACAAACATCTGGTTCTGTTCCATCCCTGTTACAGTTACATGGCATGCAGTTTGGGAAAGCATAAGTTCCAGGAGCACACTGATCACACTGCCGTCCTTTTATTCCTGGTTTACACCTTTATCAACAAACACAGAGGAGGGAGTAAACGGGGGAAGCAGGAACAGAGCAAGGGTGGGAAGATTAAAACGAAAGGCTGGTGGATCTTTGAAGCGATTGCATGGCTATGACACAACTTTATAATTTCCACAGAGAAACAGCAGCAGGTTAGTACTGTTCTCAGATTTTAATAGTGAGACAATTTATAACAACGTGGAACTGATTAGGAATGGATTTGATTTTGAAGGCTATAAATGCTCACAATAAAATTAGACTTCTGCAGCTATTCAATGCAGAACTACTCTCTGTACATCAAAGCGTGAAACATGAATGTTCAACATGGATAAGCAGAACTGGAAGATTTATAGGGAGGATGTGACTGAGCATTACTCAAGGGACTCACCTGCTAAGAAAAAGGTGAAAAATCCCACATATATGAATAATTATGTGGGCTTCAACCTGCCAAAAGGCTCAGTTTACTTTACAACAGTTCACAAAGGATAAAATCCACTTTGCTCACAATGATGGCCGAAGGCCTTGAATTTGTTAAGGTGAAGTACAGCAGATGCAAAAACCAATGCTAAACTATGAACAGGGCTTGAGATAAGAGAGGACATCTTTCTGTGGCAGCAGCTACTTCATCCTACTTTTACAACAAACTTGTACAGTCTGATAAAGCTAGTGAAAGGTAGATCTGATGATCCCTCTTCCTCCCGTTTATGCTGGTAAACTGTGTGTACCAGCCCCAAGAAACCAGGTTTCAAGAGAGTAAGGATCCATTATTAATGTATGCCACCACTACCCTCCACATCTTCACATTTTACTTGTGATTAAGATGATTTTTAGAAGTGTCAGCAAGTTGAAGGAGTCTCCTTTGACTCTCAGTATCGAATTCGTATGTGCACTAACACTGATTTTAATGGAAATAAACAGTTAAAAGTATGAGGCCAAGGTAGACTACACTTGAGTAATTGCTTCTATATATTACATGAATTCACAAAACAATGGATGAGGTTTCTCAAAGTCTCTCTGAATACATTACCCCTATACACAGATAACTGGTGCTGGATGGGGATTTCAAAGTTCATGTAATCCACAGAAGTATTAATCAGAATGTAGTAGTTAGACATATCTTTCAGCAATCAGTCTTAAAGTACTTGCTAAATGTCAAATTTTGCTGTCATTTCTTCGATATTTCCAATTAGGCTGCATGTGAAAAGTATCACCATTACAATGAGCCGATATAGCTTTTCACTGAAATGGAAAAATGTGACTATTTCTGCAAAAAATTATCCTCAATTTTACTCAGGTAGAAATGTGCTGAGACCTTTCAATAAAGTTATTTGATTGAATGATTTATTTGATTTATTTTTGCATAGTATTTATTTTGATTTTTATTTTGTATTCTATGGGGAAAATCAAAGCAGAAACTAATCAGATTGAGAGTGCACCAGGAGACACAGAATATGCTACATTTTAATACTGAACCCTAATTTCTAAATATGGAAAGGGAATCCTGTTTTGCTCTTGGATATGACCATTATTCACTTCATATGAAAAGGACAGACTTAGGAAAAAAATTAAATTTGGGAAGTAATATGATCATTCTCTGAAAATTAATGTTCTCTATCTATATGTCTCTATAGAATACATTTTCTATGATATTACAGGCTTAATGGCAGAGTAGGAAGGACAAGTTTCTCTTCATTAGGAGTGTAACATAGCAGAACCAATCCAACTGAAGCACTCCTGGACTTACACAACCTACTTGCTATCAAGTATTTGTACTTCCTATTCAAGGGCTCAATCCCTCCAAGGAAATAAATGTTCAACTATACTAATATGGCAGCATTTGAACTTAAGGTCATTCCTTATCGTTGTGGCTGTATGCTATACCAATTTTAGAAGATGTAAATAAGAGAATAAAGAATTTATCCTCATCTCAGCATGCTGAGTTACAGAAAAACAATCATATGTCATACAGAAAGTGCAATTTTAAGGGGAATTACCACCTATGACTCCAGCTGAACCATATATTTCATACAAACTGCACCTATCATCAAATTTTCTCAAAATTTGTTACAAATATTCAAGCTTTACAGTACTTAAAAGCATCATTATACTTAAACCCAGGCCTCAGACTGGGGAAGGTCTACTGTGAAGTTTTAAGAAACTGGGAACTAATGTATACCATTACAAATTACATGCACATCCAGAAGTTATGAGCTGTGACCTGAAGTCTGCTACTGACATTGGATAAGTTATATGAGCTGGACAGAGATTTGATGACTTCCTGGGAGTGACATGGCACATCACTGGCGAAAAGAATGCAAGCCCAGGAACCCCAAATCCCACCATTGGACACCTGCAAAACCAAGTTTCCACTAAAACATTACAGGTCCTTGAAACAGGACTCCTCATTATTGCTAAGCACTGCTTAAGTCCCTACTGACCATCATCAAGGTTTCCCACATCCCCTCAAAATACCTGGAAAGGACAGTAAAACAAACCACTCGAGCCCTGTTTATGACGCACGTATCCTAAACTTACGTGCACTGCCCGTTGTTCTTTTCACATTCTGGGCTTGACACATTAACAATTCCTCTTTCTGAACAGTTGCAGCTCTCGCAGCCAGCAAGAGGGTGGTAGCTGAAGTAATTCTTCTTGCACACTTCACATTTTGGTTTCACAGTTCGCGGAGGGCAAATGCATTTACCAGTCATGTCATCACAAAGATGTTGTCCGCAGTTGCATACTAGGTCAGAGAAAATGTTCTACGAATCAATCACATCTCAACGTACAACAATCAACTTCTACTGAACTTGGATATGAAACAAACACACACAACATTCATGTTTCTCTCTTTCACTAGTTTTACGCTCAGGATCATGGAAATCAACTATGTGACTGTAACAGTAGTTTTAGAGCTTAACTTTAGTGCCTGGCTCTTTTCCACAGACTGTTTGCTTAACTTTGCTGCAGACATTATTAATGACTTCCCCAAACTGCCAAGGATTAAATGACAAACAGTTTCGGTGTTAAGGGCACAGCTTTTACAAGACAACATTTATAAACATCAAGTGTAATATCTGGGAAGGCAGTTGAGGACTGATCTATAAATCTGGTAATGTTTATAAAAATTACATCAGAATATGAGGAATTAGGAATGCTATGTCACTGACTATCTATGGAAGACAGGTATGGTGTAAACTGGGATACAATGGGAATAACTTGGAAATGATTTAGCAGTCAGTGCAGAATAATCCATGTGACTGAGTGGCGATATGGATTTTAATCAGTTTACCTGTAGCCCTGTACATCTGATCAAACAATACATGTGAAGGCACAGTCCATCATGAACTAGGTGTGCTTTAAGGGTTACTTCTGCCTCAAACTGAAGATTATGCTATGCTAAATCTAAGATTGGCTCAACCAGCCTCTCTCAGAATCAAGTCCTATAAGGAAAAGTGACATACAATGCAATAAAATCAGAGAATTGAATAAACCAGAGAATTGGGTCAGGTGTTGAATAAATCTAAGCTTGTACTTACACTTGCAGAATGGGAATCCATAGTAGCCAGTCTGGCACCGGCTGCACTGACGACCAATGACATTAGGTCTGCAAATACACTCTCCTCCCATGGGGCTGCAAATAGGGCTCACAGCACCTGCGCTATGGCAATTGCATGGCAGAGCTCCATTGTTGTAGAAAGCCACTAGCGATCTCACAGAGTCCTTACAGAAGGCCGATGATCCTTCTGGGCTATTTAAAATTGAAACATAAATCATGTAAGGACTGCACTTGGGAATTGTTATGTGGGTGCTTTGCAGTGGTTCAGTAAATTAGGGTTCTGTCTTCAAAAAGTTCTTTAACGTAAGGATGGCATCAGTACACATGCAAGAATATACTTATTAAATTAGTGGTGAATGGCTTTGAATATGCAGGTACGAGGTGTTTTTTCAAAGAAAGTGCATATTAGTCATATAATTAGTTCAGACACGCCAAGCAAAATACCGAATACCAAAGATGGAAATACCAAAGAGAGAAAGATGACATACATCTACATCTTTTGTACCATGAGCAATAAAGCCCTACCTTTACATTTCATTTACAATAGAAAGTCATGGAAAAATGACTCATGGAAATTTAGTGAGCCAGCATAAGCCATGAAAAGCATTTTAATGTAGTGCAGTGATTGGGATTTTATACATGTCTTTAATACAGAGTAAAAGTAACATTAATTCCTAGCTGGTGTCAATGTTCAGGTTTTTAGAAAGCAGTGCTTACTCAATATAAAAACTGTTTCTTCCACATTGGTTGATAAAATCATATGACTTGTCCACTGTCTTTTTGTCAAGAAGTTTGTAACTGTAGGTGTCTGCTGGAACAACTAAGACTTTCTCCTTAAAACAACAAGAAAGCTAAGTTGTACATTTCTGAGAAAAGCAAGACAGAATCTAAGGTATTTATATATTTAAATGTTGCTTCATTATGCATTCTGGATTTTCTCAAAACCCATAACATTTTAACTTAAAAAAAAAAATAGGAATATATGCTTATCTTCCCCCCAGAGCTGTGATGCTATAAGCAGTGTAAAATAAAAACAATGTATAGTATCTTAAAGTTTTAAAGTAAAACAGAAACAGTGCACAAAATCCTAAAGATCTGGAACACAACATTAAAAAAAAAATCTTTCTTTTTGGCTTTCATCTTTGCATCTATGTCTAAATGAATGGTGAAACTGAGAACAACATCCCCAAGCACATTCATGTAATAAACATACCAGAACCAGCATTCTTCCATCAGGTATCATCACTGTAACAGAGATCTCAGGTTCAGAAATGTCAAGCTCAATTTGGTTTTCTGCAATCACCTGATCCCGACAGCCAGAGGTGTGAGGGCAGAATGAAGCACTGAAGGAACCTAGAAATAAAAACATACTGGATTTGTCTAGCAAGGTTTCTGCAGTGGTGGGGCTACAGGGGTGGCTTCTGTGAGAAGCAGCTAGAAGCTTCCTCTATGTCTAATGGAGGATGGTGGTAACATCTTTCTGACAAAGTATTTAAGAAGGGGGGAAAATGTTGCCTGTGCAATGGCAACTGCAGCTGAAGAGAGGAGTAAGAATCTGTGGGAGAAACAGTCCTGCAGACACCCAGGTCAGTGAGGAAGAAGGGCAGGAGGTGTTTCAGGCACTGAAGCAGAGATTCCTCTGCAGCCCGTGCTGCAGGTGGTGTCAAGTCTGTTTCACCCATGACAGTAACTGGTGAGTGGTCTCCTCCTGTCCTTATGTCCCACAGCCTTTTGCTGTATTTTCTCTCCTCTGTCCCACTGAAGAGGAAAGTGACAGAGCAGTTTTGGGCACCTGAC